CAATCTTACCAAAGTTATAACTGATTTAAATAATTTACTGAAAGAGGTATTTTAGAATGAGAAGGATTCTTCTCTTCTGGATTCATTCAAGGTGCCCTATCTTTTCCCCATTCACGGAAACCATCCTGGCGGGCTGTGCATACAAGTGCATACACAGATACTTTGCTAGGGGAAAAAAATGAAGGGGTGATTCACTCATACATATGAAGTTACCTCGAACAATTTCCAAAACAATCATATAAGCCTAGAAAAATAATTACTGTATATATGCATTCCAAAGCATCTTTGATGAAACATCTGCAGAGATATACTGTATGTTCAAGATTATATGAAGCATTCAGAAGTCTGCTAAAAAAAAATTTAATAAAAGGTTTTATTTTATCTTTCCACATTTCAATAACATCTTTTTTAGTGAACAGCATGATTCCAGGTTTTCACATTTCCATACAAACATTACCTTGATTACATATTCATCTTTCACATTTAGTTTCATATCTTATCATCACTTTACATATTTTCTATTAAATTTCTCAAATACTTTCCTCAAACTTATTTTATATATTTTCAATTCATTTCTTAACCTATTTCTTTTAACTTAAATAATTCTCATATCTTCATATTCATTGTGCTTTATACTTTTATCTGTCAGGTTTGCAATTTCATTGCATATTCTTATTTAATCATTTCAAAAATTCCATCTCAATTCAAACATTTCAAAAAAGTTTCCCCCACAATTAGAGTGTGCCACCCCATACCTTATATATCATTTGGTTAGTTCCTCTTTAAATCCCAATAATCATTTAACTTTTTAATTATCACCTTAAGAATTAATATGAATAATCTCCTAACAACTACATAACACATATACCTTTTAAATCAGATTTTGCATGGCAGTTTCCCCTTCAATTACATCAAATTATTTATAATTTCAAAAAGAAAAATTAATCTATTCAATTAATCATAAAAACTGATATTAATCTCATTACAGCAATCCTCATAATTCATTTCAATTATATTCTTAAATTCATTAAACATAGTTAATAAACTCATAATACATTTATACAACACCTCATCACCGTGCAGAATCCCCTTTCTTAATCCTTATTTAACCATTATCTCTATGTCTTTTGAATAAACAATTTCTTTTCATTTTTCTTCGATTTCCATATTTCTTTATTTCCTGGTTCTTTTTCTTATTACTTCTTTTTTCCTTCATTTTCATCTCCTTTTCTTACTCCAGTTTTTATCCCCTTCCCTCTTTAAAGCTTCCTTCTTTGATTCCCTTTTCTGCTCTTTCCTTTTACTTTGTTTGGTTTTCAAAAAATTCCCCTTTTTAATTGCCTCTTCAAATCTCCAAGTTTTAATTCCCATTCTTTTTCCTCTTCGCTTTAATATTCGTTGCTCCAATTATTCCTTGAAGATGGCTTCTTCTTTAATCAGCTCCTTCTCTTCTGGCACTCCTTGTTGTTCTTTATACTCTAAAATCTCCATTTCTAAGAATTGTAAGGCAGAACCAAACGACTTGCCTCTTTCATGTAACATTTCTTCATTTCCAAAAAAGTTCTGCCATTTTTAAACACTTCTGTTTTTTTATACATACATACATACATACATACATACATACATACATACATACCCTGTTTCTCCAACAATACAGCCTCCCCCAATAGGAAGTCCCAGCATGTTTTATAGGCATGAAATGAAATTAAGCCCCTCCCCCCAAATTAAGGCCTATATTAAAACATGCGAAATGGGGGGAATGGTGAGGGGGCTTGCCGTTAGGAAGTACTTTTGTTGCACACCCAGATATGGTGCTGCCTGCGTTGACCCCGATACGAAGTGCCCCACCAACGCCGAAGTCAACATCCAAGCCGTCGCTGCCTGCCCGAAGATGCAAGGGGGGGGGGGATTAAGTCACCCCCGAAAAAACGGCCTAGCCATTTTTTCGGGGCTCAAAAAAAAATAAGACCCAGCTTTATTATATGAGAAACACGGTACATATTCAACCAATGTCTTTAGAATTTATTTCCAACTATCAGCTTTTATTAATTTTTCTTTAGTTTTTTTCCAAATTCATCAAAAAGTCCAATATCTATAAATGTAAGTTTATGCCAAAATCACCAAACAATCCCAAGGTAATTTCTTCCTGCTTCTTTCTTTTGTTTTAATATTCAGTATTTCCACTTTCCAGAGTCTCTATTTTGTTGTAAAAAAGTTTCACATACTTTGTATCAAATTCAGCTTTTAAAAGAGCCAGGCATTTGTTTTTAATAAAGAGTCACAAAAATGTTCTTTTACCACTAGACGGCACTCTCTGTTATATCCAAATTCTGCCCCCCCCACACACACACTTTTTCTTCTCTATTTAGGGCTTTTAAGATTCAAAAATCCAATAAATCCAAATATCAATTACTGTTTTGGGTTTTTTTTTGACATGTTCAAGTTCAGCTTTAATTATGCCTATTTCGTGCCAAAATAATAAAATTATCTAATTTTAAGAGATATCTTCTTCTGGCTTCCTCCTTTCAAAATTCAAAGCCACTTTCAGCTGTCAAAATTTATTTTCTTCACTTTCTCTGATCGCTGTTTTTGTTATCTCTCTTAAAAATTTCTTAAGATTTTAATTCCGGGTTACCTTATGTTTAAATGTTGCACCTGATTAGCCCAATTTTCTTTTTCACTGCTCCTGCACAATCTTTGTCCCCAGTTAGCTCTTTCTCTTCAGGGTGATCATATTTGACCACCGCTACAGCTGTCTTCAGAGAGGAGTATGCCTAGCCAAGGAGGGGAGATGCGGCTCCCAGCTGGCGGTTGACCCAGCTGGCGGTCTCCCCCTTCTTCACCACTCCTACAGGATGGTTCTGGACCCAAAAACAGATGATCGGGGCCCTCCGATGGGAGAGCACGGATCGAAGCCACAGACGATTGAGGTCTCTGGTCCGTCAGTGAGGAGGATGCCACCGGAAGTCAGAAGTCTTTTAAAATTGATGTGCTTTATGCAATTGTGATGTATACTAGATTATATTAGGCAATTTTCCTTCTGACTTATTTGAAAATGAGGATAACATGTAGAAAATCATGTAAATTATCTTGATATTTTTCCATTTAATATTATATTAAGATTATTATATTAATATCATTCCTCTTTAATATTGTAAAATAAAATGTAAAGTCCATTAACTGTCATACTTGAAGCCAGAACTTCACAGACATATCCAGTCCTTCAGGCTTAATATAACTTACAGGAATAATATTTAGGGATATAATTGAAACTTTACTGCAATGTGATCTCCCTCAAAATCTGTCCCCAAAACCACAATGTCAAAAATTGTGATGGATACAACATGTACATTCAAGCTTGAGTAAACTTTAAAATTAAAATATAAAAGTATATAAAAACTTATCTCAAGGTAGGTAAACTGTCAGGCTATGAAAATGTTAAAATAAATCAATAGAAGTAGAGCTTCCTATAGAAATTAAGATTTAAAAAGAGAGGTCAATTAGTTGGTATTTAATGAGATAAAACATGTACTCTAAATCTTTTCCTCATACTTTCTTTTAGGATAAGGGATTTTTCCCCCCTAGAAACATACTGTATCTGTTTCTTACAGCAGAGGACAATGGCCAGGGTAAATTAACTTATTTCCTGACAATGTTCATGATTTCTTCTACTTTCTACATAGAATCAATCTCTTGTGTCACTTCAAAAGCAACATTTACTAAATAGTATGGTATTTAGATTTCAGCACCTTGAAGCTCCATTTTGAGTAAACTCCAAAATGTTTTCTATTTGCAAAGTTTTGGTTACAGGTCTCATAAAGGATGAGAGAATAATTATAGTAAATGTATTTTTAAAAAATAAATGTAGGTAAAATTAAATCCAGCTTAATTTTGGAGGGAAGCTGTCAATACTCCAAGTTACCTGTACAACAAATACAGGAAGTCCTTACTTAATGTACACTTAGTCAGTAACTATTCAAAGTTATGATGGCGTTGAGCAAAAGGGACTTACAACGTGTCCTTTTAGTTGTGACTGTTGCAGCACCCCCACCATCACATCTACACAATTCAGGCAATTGATTTGCAATTATGGCACCACAGCTTCCCATGGGGACATGATTTAATTTTCATTGCTGACTTCTGATGCGTAAATTAATGGGGAAGCTGACAAGTCACATATGGCAATCACATAAACATAGGAAGCTGTGATCTGCAGAATTCACCTAACAGCAGCAAATGGGATTGCTGGAACTGTTCCTATATGTCAGGGGTGTCAAACTTGTGACCCACCCCTGGGTTTAGCGAAGGGGAAAAAAGTCATGATACATCATGTGACAATGACATGACGACACGAGTTTGACACCCTTGCTGTAAGTCAATGAAGTCATATCACACTGCACCTTGCACACATCATTTAGTGCTGGAATTGAAATTCCTGATCTCAATTAGCATTGGTAAGCGAGGACTACCTATTTTGCAAATGCAATATACCCTTCCGCAAGAGAAAAAAAATCAACATTTTTGTAGCAGTTATTCTCAATGGACCACGTTACAGTAATGGTGCCAAATAAATTTCTTTCCTATCTGTATAGAATAGTTACAGTTTAATGATTTTTATAGTCACATGTGTGGTTTAAATTTAAAAAAAGTACAGCCAGGAGTTAATGTGAAGCCTGAGAAACCAGCTGTGATTCAGATATGCTTCCTGCCCACTCTGACAGAGTAAAACATTAACATTTCCCACAGGCCTGAGATATGGTGAAATCTTATAAAAATGTACTCTGATGCATACACATTATGCATGTATTACATGTACAAATAATTATTTCAGCTGAGCATGATATTCATACGAAACGGACATCTACATAGCTAAATAGGTTATGCATAACTAGTTCCAAGTTAAGATTTGAATTTTCACCTCTCTAAAACATGACTGTATCACATGGGTAGGGGTGGCAGACATAATTGTACTGTAAGTTAAATGTTTACATTGCTCTTACCTCCTGTAGTAGTTTTAAGAAGACCTTCGTCCACTGCGGACCCAGTCAGAATATTGCATACAGGCTTTGGCTTTTGTGTTTGTAAATATTCCACTGAATGCACATTATCTATTTGACTCGTTTCTCTAGGCTGACCATTTCCAGAACAGTTTAAGAATTGAGGAAGGCCTTCATTATGCGTTATGACTTTGATTAAATCATTCCCAGGTGCTATTTTGTAATTCAAGGCTTGGGGGTCCAAATGATTATTATGGTCACTTAGAAAACAAGGGAACTCAGGCTCATCATCTTCAGGGATAGGATTGTACCATATTTCTCCTTCATCATCTGCATCATTATCTTCACCAAAATCTAAAGTACAGTTTTGTAGTGCCAAAGATCTTGTTCCATTCCCAGCAGCATGTGCAGAACTGACTCTTCCTCTAGGGCTTTCCTGTCCTAGAAATCTGGAAAAAGTCTGAGGCATTTTTGGCTCAAAGAAAGGACTGGAAGATTTCAGTACCTGGTAATTTTCTCCTGAAAATTTCTTGTAAGAGTTTCCTTTTTCCAAACTAGGTACTCTCAGAGAACTTTGATGTAACCAGTTCCGCTTCTTGGACACAGTAATGTTAGCAATCTGAGGCCTGCACTCAGAAACTTCACTGGATTTCAAGTTCTTAAGTTCTCTTCTGCTCACAGAAGGTATGTAAACATTTTCAATCAGCTCTATAAAATGGAAAAGGGAATAAAAGAGTGTGTTAGATGCCATCAAGTTGTCATTATTGGTATCAGGTGTACATAAAATATTGTAACTTAAAAAAGAGACATAAAATGACACAATGCAAACAGATTTCATCCATGAAGATAATAATAGTCTAGTTGCAAAATGGCAAAACTTATTCTGTCCATATAACCAAATCAAGGATGATATGATTAAATATTACAGGATAAAATGTGCTGAAAGACAGACAGCAAGCTGTTTTAAAGCAAATGAACCACGTAAACTTATCCAATATAAACTACCACTTGCAAAGCTAGTTATCCATCAAGATGGTTGGCCAAATTATTACCAAAATCTTGATGTTTTTTCTATTGCCATTCATGCAACTTTGTAATGCTAGAAAGACTGGTTGTTAAATCTCAGGTGCCCCGTTAAGCATGGCTTATATATTTGGTATAGAATTGCAGTATTTTTTCAGAACATGGTCCACATAATACGTATTACTACATCAGATCCAGTCTTAACCATGACTACCTTTATATTTATCTGTTTTAATGAGTCTATGGCAAATTTTATTTAGTGTAGCTAAAGCAAATAAATTTAGGTTTTACTCAACTGCCTGATAATATATTTCATAAGCTGTACAATTATGTCCACAAGATTATGTAGATTGATTTCTATTTCTCTCTATCTAAATTTATTTAAAATTATGCAATGGTATTGTGAGCAGGATCTAATTTGGTCACCGGGACCAGAGGTTTTGTCTTCTGACCTTTCAGACTCATGCTGGAGCCCCATCCTGAAGGAACTTTTCTCAGGCAGACTAGTCAGAGTAGAAGTTCCTGAAGATGGGCTCCAGCAGTTTCTGGTTCCTGTGACTGATCCACACTGGATCCTGCAATATATCCTGGGACCTGTATATTTGTCTTCATTTGTGAATATTATGAGCAATTGCAAAATATTTTATACTTGAAGGCAGTTCAGTTTCCTTTAAAAATAACCCTTCAAATCCCATTAAACTCACTGGGATTTAATTCCAAGGAAATGTTGAATTAGATCTGGACAGATACATATGTAATGCAAGAGTGAAATATGTATCAGCCTCAATGGTGTTGAAATACTATAAATGTTCCTATATACATACCCTGCATATGATGGTAGAAGTTACTGGGAAATGTATTTCAAAACATATATGGAAAAACAGACTGCTCAAACCACTCTACAGTAAGAAGTCAACATGATTTTCATTGTATTAGAAGCCAACAAATACTAGAATCAACATGTCACACCTGTACGTTGTGTTTGGCATGTTTTTCATGCGTTACATCTAGTTACCATTGAGGTCACTATAGATACATTTCATTAGTGCATGTGAGTTTGTGTTTCACTTCAAGATTTAAAATAAATGCCACTAAATTGATTACACAGGTTAGAAAGGATTTTTTTAAATAGTGAGGGACAGGGCAACATCAACCCACGATGATAAGAAAAACAGCATACCACATCTACCTAGAAAGTCTAAAAATGCCACTTTCACATATAAAAGAATAAATCCAAACTAGCTGATAGTTTCATTTGCAATACTTATGGAAGGCACCAAGTTGAGAAAGGACAAGCTTGATTCAAAAGTTGAGCAATCTCTTAAGAGAAACTACATAACAACATTATGTATAAATTTTCATATATTGGCAGCAGTAATAGACACGAAAAAACTACTCTATAAATGTTACTTTGGTAATATCAGAATTTGTACCATTTCCCAAGAATATTTATAATGTCAGAAAAGAGGGGATTACCCCTTCCCCCTTTGCTAACAACACATATCAGAAGCCCATTGCATCCTTTAATACATGCTCAATAAATGCTCACTTATTAAGGAAGTTCTGCTTCAACCAGCACAACAGCAAGATTCTTGAATGGAATGGCTCTCACTTGTATAGAAATAAAATATTCCCACCTAACAAAACTTATTTAAGATGAATTTTGAATAAATGTATTCCTTCTACTTCTAATCAAACAAATACAGGAACATAACCCTTTTAGAAATATTTAAAAATCTGTTAGTCACACAAAACATAGAAAAATAAGAAAATGGTATCATCATTTACAGCAGGATTAGACAACCTTTTTTGAGCCAGTGCACATAATTCTGGGCTTATTTAGATGGGTCCCAGTTGACCTTAAAACTAAGCAGGTTCAGACCTGATTAGGTCTCCATAAGAAAAATCTCAAGAATTTGGCCTAGATCAGGAAAAAATAGTCTCAGAAGAAAGTACCAGCAAATCTCCCTTCCAGCTTCTTGCCAAGAATATTGGATATGTCCAATTTCATGTCCATAAAATTATCAAGAATAGGCAGAGAATGCATGACTGATTCAGTTACCTAGTGAACTCCATGATTTATCAAGGACTTGAATCTGCATCTTCTAAGTTCAATATCTTAACCACGAAACGGGGAGTTCATCTCTTGTTCAGATATCTAATTCAGTGAGCTCTTCTAAGTTAATTGCAAAGTTTAAGGTTTCATGATATTACACTTACCTAAATTCAAGTACTGTAACAGTTTGCACTATTTCAATGAAAGCTAAGGCTGGTTTTAGTAACTGATAGCTCTATCTCCTTCTTCAAATTCCATTTATCAAGATGACTTTGGGCATATGATAGAGGTGGAATTATACGCCCAATATATAAATTTCTGCTTGCTGGTTTCAAGAGATGAGTTTAACATTACTTGGTCTGGGACTAATTGATTGCTCTTTCTTGTTCACCATACTTGTAGTAGCCAATTCCAAACTCATAATTTGAAGTACAAAGTAAACAGCTTTCACAACTATATAGCACCATGTAAGACCCCTGCTTTAACTAGTATATTTACTCTTAGTAAAATGACCTGATCCTTTATGATCTTTGCCACATCTGTACTGCATTGGTTTTAGGATTAAACTCGTCTTTATATCTCAAACACAATGCCCATCGTTATTCTTCAGTTTAAGAAAACACTGTTTCACATTTTCATTGTCAGGTGTAAACTCACGGATGTTGATATTACCTTGTGTTTGTGTTTAAAGGTAACACAGATTTTTTTCTTTCTGCTTTTATTCTCATAATAAGGTCTTCAAAGTCTCCTTTAATGATGGAGAATTCCTCATTTAAATACAATCCATTCTAAATTGAACTTGCTATCATTTAATTGCTCACTGTACTAGTATTTATATTTTGCTTTAAATTTTAATTCTAAGCAAGATGCTATAACTCTACATGCCAAAAATTGTTCACAACATAGCAAATCTTACTTCTTGAACATATCTGCTTCTCTTATTGTGCCCATTCAACTCTGTATAATTAAAAGGTACATTATAATTATATGCATTGTAACCTCCCTACACCTGTAAAACAATATGTGAAATATAACAATATTTTGCAACCAATACTTAGAATGCTTTTTGCTAATTACATTTTTCTGGAGAAGTGTTTTGTAATAAACCTAGGAGGATTTAAAGCAATGAAACTTTAAACCTGGTATAATCCTAAAACAGAACATAAAACAAAATGTGGCTGCACGCTCGAAAAGCATTTTCTACTACAGTAAGCTAGTATGTACTTACATGGAAAAGTTGTAACATGAAAGAAAAAGAAACCATACTAAAATGTAACTGATTCTACAGTTAATGAGAGACCACACACTGCTAAAAGGGCAAGATAAGGAATGCCTATTAATGTAATTTAGTCTTTCTTCAAACATTATGAAAAGCATAAACACCTGTAAGAAGCCTTTTTTACCACAGTAAAGTTGGGGGTTGGATCCTGAATAATACAGCAGGTTTACTTCTTTGATTTTCCAGCAACACCCTGAGAGAATTTATACAAAGGTGTGTAAAATTCCTGGAAATTCAACAAACTTTAAAAGCAGTTGCAATTAGCTGGTATTGGTTCCAATTCCTCTATGAAGAAAATATGCATAATTTGGGGAAACTAAGCATATATTTGTAGTATCACACACACACACACACACACACACCATTTAGTAAAGCAGATAACTCAAGCTAAGGTAGCTTGGAAGTCATATTTCTTCACTCACAGAAGGAATAAGAGAGTGGTATGGAACACCCTTGCAGTACATCTACTACTTAACTGATTTTATGATTAACCATAATTAAGCAAATGCAACTTGAATGCTTCTGAGATGTGGACAATCAACCCGATGTTCTCCAGGTATTTTGAATTTGTGAAATTCAGTGTGAGCATATAATTCTGCCTGTATCGTTTTTGTGGAAAAGTGCTGGACTAGCACTTGGGAGACTGATGTTAAACCCTTAGCTATGGAAACTTTCTAGATAACTTTGGGCCACTCATTCTTGCTTAGCCCAGCCTATGTCACAGATTGATATAGGGGAGAACAGAATACTATGATTGTCACTTTGAGCTCCTGGATGAAAGATAGGATACTATCTAACAAATGCAAAAATGCCACTAAATCTTGACTATTAACTATGCTAACTCATGGGAACTGAAGATACAAGGAAGCCACCAAACTGCCTAATTCTATAGTATTTCTACTAATTCTATAGTACAGTGCAAATCTCTGTATTTGAAGGTAACATAACAGTAGAAATATAAATAATCCTTTTTTTTTTTAAACTACTGTTCAATTCTGTCCAATTCTCGGAAAGTGCCTGTTGAAGTCCCTGCAGTTTTCTCGGCAAGATCCTTCAAAACTGGCTTGCCATTCCTTCCTTTCTAGGATTGACTGGCTCAAGGTCAACCAGGGCTTCATTCCTAATGTGAGGCTAAAGCTCATGATCTTGTAGTTTCTAGCCTAATGCCTTAACCACTATTCCAAACTAGCTCTCAATCTACAGAACAGAATATATTAAAATAGAAGATGCTTATTCCTACATTATAGATACCTGTGTTTCTGAAGAGTGGATTCTGAACACATAACTTGTTTCCATAACCGTTCACACATAATCATACATGTAAAAATTAGATTTAAGGTTATGGCTAGTTCTTAAAAAACAAAAATAATTTAGTTGATTCAGAAGTCATTCAATAATGCAAGTGCTAAAATTGAAGGTTTGATAAAGCCACACATTTCTGAGATAGCCCTCGTTGCCTACTATATAGACATGGAAAAGCAATGTGGTACAGTGCTTAAAGTGTTGAAGCATAGAGATTTAGATTCTGGTCTTTCCTTAGGCATAAAAGCTCACTGGGTGATTTTTGGGTAGTCACTCTCTCTCAAACCTAGTATATAAAAAAATTAACAACAGTAGATCAATAGATTTGGTTCATAATATTCAGTAAAGATTGCTTCATATTGTAATGAACTGATTCAGGATGATGATGATAAGATAGGCATGCACAATAAAAAAAACATTATCCCAACAAGTAACCAGATTGCCATTTTAAAAATCTACAACTTCTAATTTCTGCACCTAAGAATAGACCAGGTCTGGAGTCAAGGCATAGTTAGGAAGGCTCTCCCACAATTTTTTCCCCTTCATTGTAATTTGTCATTAAAAGATAGTTCATTCTACTTTGTCCCATCTTCCTCCCTGACCCTTTATTAACATTTAGTGAAAGTCAGGCTTATGTTGAACTATTGCAATGCTGGGTTAAAAGAAATAAATGGAATGAGACTTAGAAAGATTGCTTCACATATGAGTACTTGAATAAGTGAGTTATTAACTTACTTTAGCCACACACAATTAATATACAAAGGAAGCCATTTTCTAGAAATGGCCATGCTGAATTGGCAGCTCTTCCTAGAATATTTCACCCCCTCAGAATAGACAGAATAAAATGAGGTCACAGGGCTTCACCAGACACGTTTTTTTTTCCAATTGCTGCTGCTGCTTGAAGGAGGTGTTTTGAGAAAGAGATGAGAAAAGTATTTATTTATTTATCACTGATATTTCCAGGAGTCCATGAAAATTGGACTTCAACTTACATCATTCCCTGGATGGGAAGCTGGGGGTAATGAGCATTATTATCTGATTAAACAATTAGGCAAGTGATTTCAGAAGTTGAAATAAAGGCTGTGTGAATGTTTGATTTGCAGATTAAGTTCAAAAAGCTGATCTGGATAAACTGATCTGATTTAAATTGGATTTGATTATTTTGGATATTTTGCATACCTACATAGGAACTTTTTCAAGACTGAATTGACTGTTTGATTCTATTAGCACTGTCCATTTTTCAATCTACTGTCCCAAGTGTGTTGAATGGCAGCTCAGAGAAACTCTAGATACTATGGCCAGTGTCACATTTAACTACAGTATGCTCAATCGAGAGGTAATCTAATTAGCGAAGTCAAAGTACACATAGTTTGTGAACTCATTAATTGAAACAAGAAGTAGGTGTGTAGCAGATACCATGTGGAAATGCTAACTCTCTTCCCCAGGTATCCAAATTCCTAAAACAATAGCAACTTCTATATGTTACATGTGACATGTTAGAGTATACATTGTTGTCGTGGCAATTTTTCCCAGGTTGTGATACTAGCTACAATAAGGATTGTCAAATATGTTGATTTCTCTTCCTCACTTGCACTCTTAGCAATAGGAGTTCTAGAAGCATGACACCATATGCTTCAATTTATAATAATGCAGCCAAAGAAAAACACATTTAAACTGTCAATATTGAACAGAAGCAGTTTACATAAGTATTAACATTTAACCAGACTGTATCAAGCAGCAGGTTATGCCAAAAGGAACTCAATGGTACGTTCCCTATGGAAAATATCTAACTGTGCTCTACAAATATGGACAGAGACTCCTCTCCTGCAAACTTAGCCTGCTATTTACATTTTAGGAGTTGGCATAGGAGTTGGCATGCCTTCTGGGTTAAAAATTAGGAGGGTTGTATAAACAAGGTTCAATCAACTTCACTGCATAAATCATGTCTTGATTTTTCAGGTTGGAAAAATGAAACTACCTTTTTTTTTTTAAACCTCTGGAAGCTACTGAAGAGATAAGCCAATTGGAAAAAAGACAACAGAGTACATGAAGCTTTGATATGGTTATCAGCTTTAAAAATGGCTGGTTTCCTAGGCTTAGCAAGACATTCAACAAGCTAAGTCTTTCACAACCACGGAGAAGCAAGAAAGGGGGGGGGGAACTCTTAACAGCAAAAGTGGGACAAAGCCCTTAGGCTCACAAAGACCTTGAAAGGAAAGCAGGAGACCACAGAAACCATTACCTGTCAGCAATATTCTTTGGTCTGAAGAAGATACTCGGGCCTTGGGCCCTGGGCCATTCAAGTGAGCAGGGGGCGAAAGTGTGAGCCCCTCTCCTCTGCCAAGAAGTGGCCTGCAACTCCCAGTGACCTTGGTGCGGGAAGATGGGGGGGACATCCCAGCGGTCCCACCCCGGCCTTTCATGCCCAAGGAGAGCAGGCGTCCTTTGTACATCCACTTCTGCAGCTTCCGAACAGTCACAGTGGGTGGTTTGAAGGGGCCCGGGGAGGCATCTTCTGGGGGGTGCTGGGGTTTTCCCTCATGGCTACCCCTGGTTGCTCTTGCTGGATCCACCATTTTGCCCTGGGCTCCATACAGCTCAGGGGCCAACAGCTCCTCCATGTCTTCCTGGAGCCCTGAAGGATGTGCTTCACCAAGGCCTTGGCTGCTGAGGGTCTTCTCACAACCGCTGTCACCAGAGCCATGTGTGGCAGCTGACAGGAAGCAGGTTTCCTGGCTGGTGCCAAGTTCCTGAGGTTCGAGCAGCAGGTGGCCACGGGGCTCTAGTGGCTCTGGAGGCAGAGGCTGGAGCGTACCTTCGCTCCGACATCTCGGCAGGAGCAGTAGTTTGGAAGCAGAAGGCTGGGCAAAGCAGAGGCTCTCCAGACTCTTGCTTATGCCCTGGCGCCTGATGGGATTCTTGGCTGAAACTTGGGCACAGGGATCGGATCTTTGCAACGGCGAGCATCCGTCCGGGCACGAGAAAGACCAGCGTAAAGCATCACTCGCTGCAGCCTCAGAGGCGGGCAGATGGCTAGCGGGCTGCGGCGAGGGTCCTCCAGCTGTGGGGCTGGCCGGAGGCAGGTCGTGCATGGCGTGGATCAACAAGTAATAGGCCTCCTGGAGCTGGCTTCGCAGTTTGCCGGTGCTTTCTCTCGCTCTGGCCCTGCTGCCGCCGCCAGCACCCGGAACGGCGGCCGCGCTGCCTTCCTTGTTTCCCCGCGCTGCTCCTTCGGGCGTTCGGGCCGTTCCTTGGCAGCCCCAACCAGGCAGCCTCTGGTTATCATAATAGTCGTCTTCTTCGCTCCCACCACCGCACTCCAGGGCCGGGCCGGGTTCCGATCCCCTGGGGAAAAAGGACGACGAGGAGAAGCAGAGCTCGGCGGCCAGAGGAGGCGCACGGAGTTCCGGGGGGCTCGGCTGCTGCAGCGCCCTGCCTTCCGCGCCCTTTCTCGGAGGGCAAGAGCGGGCCACGGCGGCTCCCGGCAACCTTTCTCCGGGCATCTCCGCCTTTCCCCACCGGGACCAGGCAGCCGACTCCCGCAAGCCCGGCCTCTCCAGCGGGGACACGAGGAGCACTTCACAACCGCCCACCTGGCTCCCCAACCCGGGACACGCTTCGGTCGTCACTCCGTTTTCCAGGCAGGGGTGATGGAAGTGCAGGTTCTGCTGGGTTTTCCCTCCAAGGGCTCCGACGCCCCTGCCGCCTCTCTCGCTGGGGTCCCCGGCAGCAGCTTCCCCGGCTCCTCGCTGCGACCTCCTACTTCGCAGCTTGGAGAAAGTCCTACGCAGAGGGTCAGCCATGCCTGGTCGTCTCCTTCAGTTCGCTGCCGTCGAGCGCAGCAGGGGTGCCGCTGCTTGGTGGCGCCTTGAGCAAAGCGGAGGCGGCGGCGGCGGCGGCAACGGCAAGCGCAACAGCTTGCCGCGCGGCTGGCTAGAGCACGCCATGATCTTCTACTTGGTCCTTGGGCGCCTCTCGCTCTTTGCCGCGGCTGCTGCTGCTGCTGCTGCTGCCGCCGCCGCTCAGGCTCACATATTTGGCATAACTGAGCGGGGTGAGAGGGCGCTCCGCAATGCGCATGCCTTACTGCCAAAGCAGCTAGGCTGAGAGCGCTTTTTGGGGGGGGGGACCGGAGCGCGCGCGCGAGGCCTTGCCTTCCTAGCCCCGAGGCTGCCCAGCTTGGGCCGAGACGTCGGGGGAGAACAACGGGAGAGAGAGGCCAGGTTCGTCCGGCTCTTCCCCCCCCCCCACCCCGCCCGCGCGCGCGCGGGGGCGGGACACTGAGGCGAACTTTTCCAGCCCTCGCCCCCTTTCGCGTCTCTCTTCCAAAATTAACCCTTTCCTCGGCCCTCGAATAAATAAACAAGGCCACCGGTGCCTGAACCCAGTTGGATTAAATCCGGTTCTTTTCGGGAGAGGTCTCTCCTGCCGCTTTCGATCGCGGTTTGGGTAAGAAGCGATGCAACAAAGGAACGTCTTCCCCCTTGCCGGCGCTCAAAAAGTTGAAATGTGCAGCTGACAAATACAGGCGGGCCTCGACTTGCAACAGTTCATTCAGGGACCCTTCAAAGTAACAACGGCACTGAAAAAAGTGGCTTATGAACGTTTTTCACACTTAAGGGCCACGGCAGCATCCCCATGGTCACCTGATCAAAATGCAGATGCTTGGCAAGTGGTTCATATGTATGATGGTTGCAGTGTCCCGGGAATCATGTGGTCCCGTTTTGCGACCTTCTGACAAACAAAGTCAATGGGGAAGCCAGATCTGTTTAACAACCTTGTTACTAACTTCACAAATGCAATGATTCATTTAACAAGTATGGGAAAGAAAATGGGGTAAACTCGCTTAACAAGTGTTTCATTTAGCAACTCAAATTTTGGCCTCAATTGTGGTTGTAACTAGAGGACTGCCAGTACCTGCTTCTTACACAGCAGGGTAATAATGAGTGTTAGAGGACCAGTGCAAGAGATCGTTCAATACTTATTTTAAAAACACCCATGTGTCTTGGAGAAGGGCAGCCAAGTAACTTGTTCTGATGGATAAGACCTTTCATGTAAACTCCTATGCACAATCCATATGTATGTGCTCCGATGAGGCTCACACTACTTCAGTTATGAAATGGGAGGTTTGTTTTCCAATCATTTTGTTCAGTTTGTTTGGAGCGACCCAGAAGATTTCTGGACTTGTGTTATTCAGAAACAAAGAGATATGGTTCAGAAAGTGGAAATGGCTTCTTCCAACTACAGAGGTTAGATTGTGTCCCATCAAGTCATTTTCGACTCCTAGTTACCATAAGGATTTTTTCTGTGATGATCTATCTCTAAATTGTTCTTTCAGGTTCCTCAGTGCTGCACTCATTGCTACTCTTGAGTCCATCTGCTTGCTGTTGGTTGTCCTGTTCTCTTTCCTTCCACCTTTCCCAGTAATAGATCCTTCCCCAGACAGCTGGATCTTAACATTATATGTCTGAAGTAGGCTTGTAACTATAAAGAAAAGGTAAAGGTAAAAAAGTTCCCCTCACATATATGTGCTAGTCATTTCTGGCTCTAGCGGGCGATGCTCATCTCCGTTACAAAGCCGAAGAGCCAGTGCTGTACAAAGACCAGCATTTAGTCATGTGGCCGGCATGACGAAACGCCGAAGGCACACGGAAGTGGTCCCTATTTTTCTGTTGTGTTTTTACATGCTTTCGAACTGCTAGGTTGGCAGAAGCTGGGACAAGTAAAGGGAGCTCATTCTGTTACGTGGCACTAGGGATTCGAACCGCCGACCTTTCTGATCAACAAGTTCAGCGTCTTACCCACTGAGCCACTGCATCCAGTGGTGGGATTCAGATTTTTTTACTACTGGTTCTGTGGGCATGGATTGGTGGGCGTGGCAGGGGAAGGATACTGTAAAATCTCCAGTCAGAGGTGGTATTTGCAGGCTCTCCGAACGACTCAAAATTTCCGCTACTGGTTCTCCAGAACTGGTCAGAACCTGCTGAATACTACCTCTGACAGCGTCCCTTTAAACTATAAAGAAAGGGGAAGCTACATTTCTCAAACACACAGCCAGCCAGCCAGCTGCTCAAATCAGAATAGAAGCATAGTCCTTATATTTCAAAATTAAAAACAGCAGCCAGCTTTTGAAATCATTTTTTTTTTTTTTTTTTGCTGCTAAACATAGGGCAGTCTGTTCGGTCTCATACTTTGGAATCCGCTGTGAATCTGCAACATCTTCTTCTCATTAATCACCATCAGGAAAAGGGTCTCAACTGCCTTTGGTTCTGCCAGAAAGCCTTTTTTTTCATATTGATAAAGCAGCTGGCCAACCAGAGGAGTTGGCTGGGGAAGTTACTTTCTCCTGGCCCTTCCGAGGTTAAGTAAGGACACTGTATGATTCGACAGCATCTCAAAAGGCTGGAATCCTGGAGCCAGAGGAAACTGCAAGGTAAGGACTGAACTAATTAGAAAAGGAAGTGAATGATACAATAGGGGTGGGCAGGGCAAGGTTTTTTCAGTTTTCTAGTTTCCTTGCTTTTGTGATTGTGTGTGTGCGTGTGCACGCAGTTGGAATGGAAGGCTATTAAAAACCCTTATTTTGTGATAATCATTACCGCTTTGTTGTTTTCCTACCCCAAATTAAGAAAATATTATTACTCCCAAAAGTTAACCAGTTGTTTTGTGAGGGCCAGACCCTCAAAAAAGAGCTTCAGTGGCTATGTGGCCTATCACTAAATTAAAACTGTTTTCCAGTTGACCTCAAAAATTATGAAAAGATTAGAATGAAACCGTTATCCTGGCAATTGTCAGGGCTATAAAAAAACATGTATTTTTGCATTATTTTTCCTGATAATTTGGAATGTTGCTTTTGGTGGGGAAACAACATATCCAGAAAAATATATTTAAAAAAAACATACATCCAGAAAAATCTATAATGACTAGTCTTACAATCTTTTAACATCCACAATTAATGTTGTAAAGGAGGTGAGATTATTTTTTTCAATATTTTCTCCTTTCTTTAGTGGCACAGTCATTAATGCACTATGCACAAATATCCATAAATGAGACCTGTTGTGATATAATGTAACATGAATTATACCTAATAAGTACACAATGTACTATAAACATGATGCAACAATTAGTTCTTCCTGGTATTTAACTTTCAAGCCAGATCTTTTCCCTCCCACACGTACATAAAAGAAAGAATCATCAGGTGATGGTGGAAAGTGTGAGTGCTTTTCTTGTTTGCTTTTGTGTGAGGATACTAAGACAAACAGATGCAACAGCTGTCCTTGTGTAGCAGCAAATGTGCCGTGGAATTGATCACAATATGGTCTGGAGGAAAAACCTTAGGAACAGGCTTCACAAAGTGATCTTAAAAATTCTGTCAGTTGTCTCCCACTGACGCAACTTCATCCTGGGAGATCATTTGAAAACAACTTTGAAACAGGGTACCAGATGTCCCCTGTTTAAAATGGATGGCCTTTATAGAAGCCATTTATAAACACAACATCTTCATAGAACATCCTGTAGCCTGCTGATTTATCTTCATCTTTTACTATAACTAAAGTGCCAGCTACGAAGAACAACTTGCTTGCCTGAGTTCATTGAATGCTCTTTTAATGGGAAATTTAAAAAAATAGAAAGGAACTACCAACTTTAATTTTTGATGCAGATGAGGAAAAAAACCACTTCAAATTGCACTGAGAAATCACAAGATTGAATCACTTGTTTTTAATCCTATACAGTATATGGAAAAATAGACATGTGAAAGAATAATCATTTGAATGAGTAGCGATCATGCTGAACAATTAGAGTGAAGATAGTGTTTTTGATAGCCACATGAAGGTGTTTCTCTCCTGTCATAGGAAATATATAAATACAATTTGTACTGCTCCAAGAGGCTGTCTTTACCATGCCTGCATAATGAAACTAGGTAGTGCAGCAGCAGCTGCTCTCACCCAATTTAATGTGGGGAAGGTCAAGATTGCAATTAGTGGATTCTCTGCCATTTTTTTTGCCTACTTACACAATGAAATAAAATATAAGAATTTGCTTTTCTGAATACGTGCTATGGCAGGCTTGGCCCTCCAAGTCTTCATTTTTACTTCTGTATGCTTATTTTGACACAACTATTGATCTCTCGTAAGACTGATAGTCCCGTGAAATTACTTTCTGGATGTTGAAATCTACAGGTTATCAGGATTATTGCAGGGCCTGGGAGTTCTGTTAATTCTGTTAAATAAATGGAAGATTGATAAACCCATATCAAAGAACCCCCTCCAGAAAAAGAAATCTGCCTGAATTATCAGAAAACCTCAGAAATCAGAGGTCCTGCAAAATTGTTCAGCATTATGTCCCTTTCTTTTCTTTCTTTGTCTCTTTCTCGAAGTCAGTTTCCCTGGGATTCATTTTTGTTCATGTTAGTTTTGCTTATGATTGTATGTCCTATGTACTTTCCATACTTTAGGGCCTTCCCAGCACGCACGCGCGCGCGCGCGCACACACACACACACACAAAATCAGCGTGGGATTTCAAGCTGTCAGATCTATCTCAGTCTTCTGGGCTTTGGAGAATCCAGTGTAAAGAGAATGGTCTGTCGTGCAGTCAAAAAGACTTGCTAGGTGAACTGGAGCTCAGTAGATTATTGTCCCATCATTTATTTATATATGGCCAACTATCTTACAGCAGATAATTCAAGGCAGTTCACATTAACATTAAATATAAAGAGCAAACCAACCCAGCAACCCCACATATCTTAAAGCTTAGCATTAGAACATCATATAGCCACGATCTTACATTTACTGGGCTCACTTCTATCATAGTTCAAAACCTAGGTGAAGAGCCAGGTCTTCACAGCCCTTTGAAAGTTAAATAGAGGACTCTGAATATTGGCGGAGGGGGGGAGCGAGGCTATTCTAAAGCAGTGGTTGCCAACGTCTGTGAGAAAATTTTGGTGGTCTGCAGAGAAATGTTACCCCCAAAGCACCCCCCCCAAAGCAATTAATTCAGGCAAGGCAGGAACACAAGGCTGCGCCGCCCTCATGGCCCATGGGAACACAAGCCTTGTGTCACTTGCATTGTGAACACGAGGTAGTGGGGGGGAAAGGTCGGAGGGGGGAACTTGCCCCATGTGCCTGGTCTGGCCACCGGGCTGCTTCTTTCTGCTTCTTTCTTCTGCTTTTGGCTGCACGCAAGGATAGCAGCAAAAGTCTTTCTTTCTCTCCCCCAAACTCCACCAGAA